TTCATTTTGTTGAAATTAGTGTCAAATTTTAAAATTTGATATCTAGGTGTGCACTCGACACATGAAAGGTGCTTACTGGTCCAGATAGTTATGTAAGGCTGGTATGGATTATCAAAATTTAATTAACATGTTATTGCAAAGGAAGTGTAGATATATATATATATATACACTTGAAAAAAATTCATGCCACTATCAAAATTAACAACTGATGTAACAATGTTTGATAGAGATGAAAAATACAGGATTTTATTGTGCTTCCTGTTAAAATATTAAACAAACAATCTTTGAAGTATTTGGTATCCAGATGAGGAGGAAATGATTACATGATGAAGGTAATGTGAGATGAATGTATTAGGTGTGGTCCACATGCTAGCCCAAATGATTTTCTCCAAAGGATGCCAGAAATGGGCAGCCTGGGAAAGGAATAGGTGTTGGATCTGATGAGAGGACAAATGGAAAAGATAATGGGAATTGGAAGATAAGGAAGAATAAGCCAATCTGACAAGTTGGCAAATCCATCCCAGAAGGATGGTAGGTGAAATATCACAGACAGGAACCATGGAAAGAAGCCGTGCAGACAATATAACACCATAGAGCAAGAATAGGACAGAGGAGATAATCCAGGTATAAATGGGAAGACAAAGGAAGAGAAATAGGGGGGGGGGGGTGTCACCTTCACAAGCCATGTATGATGATAAAGAACACATGATATGCCAAAGGGCAAAAACATCTGACCAACAATGACTTCAGGCACAAAAGAGCAAAAAATGGGTCCTGAGGGTCAAATGGTACAGGGAGCAGGTGGCCAAAGGTTCAAAAGGAGGCAGGGTATGGGCATGGAGAGCCACTGTGAGATCCCCCCCCAAAAAAGGGGTGTAGAAAAAGAAGGACAAAGGAGACTAAAGAAACAAAAATAAAGGGAGAGTACCTGAGAAGAAAACACTTGAAAGCTTGGACCATCTTACAAAGGACTGGACAAACACCACACTTGAAGCCAGAGTGTTGTGACGTTGGGATGATGCACCTGTAACTTAGATTGTCAAAGGAGGGAGGGGAATAGTGAAAGTGGTAACAGAGGTGCTGACTGAAGGAGAAAAAAAAAACGAAACCAAGGTTGAGCAGGCAAAAAGGTGTGATGAGAAGGACCTGGCACACAGTGGACTGGATATTGGATAAAACTTGGGGAGAGACGAATGCATAGCCCTACAGTGTGACCAATCCTGACTGAAGGCACCACCACCAAAGCATGTGGAATCAGGGACCAAAAACGGGTACTTTTGCACTGAGATGGGTGGCAAACATATCTAGAAGAGAAGTACCCAACTGATTGCACAACCAGCTAAACACTTGAGGATCAAGGGACAACTCCATGGGGAGAATCTTGTCAGAACAAGACAATCAATCTGCAACAAAATTCAGAGCACCAGGAACATGACATGTCGTTAGGCATTTCCAGTGTGAATGGGCCCAGAAGAGGAATTGTAACATCCAGAAATAGAGAAAACGTGAACAGGTGTCCCCTTGTTGATTAATATACGAGACAATGGTTGAATTGTAGGAAAGAATCATAACTACTTTGTCTCGTATTAAAGGCAAAAGATGATCCAGAGCCCAATGAACAGCAAGAAACTCCAGTATATTGATGTGCATAGCTGCCTTAACCAATGATCCATAATTTTCTGTGTATCCAGATAAGCTCCCCAACCTTTCAATGAAGCATTCATAAAAAGGTGCAACTTTGGGCAGGGAGGTGGAAGAGGAATACCAATCATGGTGTTGTCTCAGTTGAGCCACTAGGCTAAATCGACATGGAGGGAGGGATGGATCCCAAGCAAGATTCCAGTGATCATGCAACATGCAGTGAAGAGTGTGCATGTGAGCATGACCTAAGAGAATGAGGGCTTCCATGGAAGCCCAAATCTACAAAAGAAGAAAAACCTCGCGTGCAGTAAGAGAAAGAGAGAATTACACCTTGAGAACTAATAATTTCATCACCTGCAAACAAAATGGAGAAGACTGGGTCCAACTGAGACAGGAGTTGAAAAACACAAGGTGGGAAGAAGAAAGGATTTCTTCAATTTGACAAGCCAACCCACCAGAGCCACCTCTCAAAGAAGCATCTGTGTGTGCTTGTGAGATATCTAAAAGAATGGAGCTCAAAAAAACCAGTCATCCATGTAATGGTGAAACTGCAGACCATGTGAATGAATAAGTCAAGCAAAGACCCTGACCATCAGACAGAAAATGTAGGGTGCAGATGCCAGACCAAATGGCAAAGTGCAGAATTGATAAACTCAACCCTTGTGGACAAAGGTATGTCTGAATGTTGAGGAAATAGGGATGTAAAGGTATGCATCTACTTTTGACATTCAAAGACACAGAGTAAATGCGTGATGAAGTTCAAGGAAGGACATTATAATGAAATAAGGACGGTCAACAAAATGGTTGAGTTGGGAGAGATCTATAACATGACGCCAGTTCCCAGTCTTCTTGGGAATGATGAATAACATGGAATAGAATCCTGCTAAAGGATGACTGACAGGTTCTATAGCATTCTTGAGAAGAAGACTCTGAATCACTTCAGAGAGACGCTGGCAGTAATGGAATCCCGAGGAGATGTGGGGATAAGAGAGGGTGGTTGAGAAAATGAAGGAAAAGACCTACTGACAACACAAGAAGCACCCAAGGATCCAAGGTGAAATTGTTCCATAGATGTACAAAATTGGTGGACCATGTCAGAATCTATGGGATAGTTACTAATAACATTGGTGGCAGGAGACTTGGCAATGAGTAATCTGGTGGCTAATCACTGAAACCCAGGAAAGAGGTACAGGCAAAGACGCAGAAGGAGGAGGATGGAAAATGGGAATAAGAGCAGGTGAAGGCTGCGATAGACAAGTAACCATGGTCTTAAGGAAGGAGTGTTGACAAGCAGCCTCCACCCTAGACTCCAAAAATAAGGAAGATCTCCAAAGACTGCCCTATGTAAAAATGGGGCCATAAAGAGGTCCTGTAGATAAGTCATGGGTAAGCCCACATTACTTAAGTTTAACTGTTGAAAAACAAAAAGTTGTGGAGAAAAAAATTTTTTTAAATCAAACACAAGTGAAATGTAAATACGTCTTCAGACTACTGTGCCAAATTGAGAAGTGAAGACTGAGTTCTGCAGTACAAAGTGAACCAGCTGTGCCAGGAGAGTGTGTCACATGCTTATTTGCATGCTACAGTGCAGCTGTACCACATTAAATACGTGGGGTAAGTGGGAGTTTCAAGGCTAGTGGTGAGGAAAAATATTGTGCATATAGAGGGCAACACTGAGCAAGAAAAACTGTTATATGAGTGGAAGTAAAGTATCAGAAACATTAAGTTTATGCAATATGTAGCATTTAATGAAAACTTGAATTCATGAAAATCTACTGTGTCTTAAAACACTTCTCAATTAAGTCCACAACTTCCTTGCCAACAAAACATATGTTCAGTATTTAAAATATATAAAATATTAGCACAAACAGTAGCAGCTTTTAACCATAGACCAGTCTTACAGAAATCCTTTTATCCTAATATTTGTGTATCATATCTATATAAATATAATTGTACTATCTCTAAAATAGAAGCGTGAGCATGTTTGGTGGGACGGGGATTCAAATCCACGACCTTCAGATTGCGAGACAAGTGCCCTAACCACCTGGCCATATAAGGGAAGCAACTTTTCATGTCTCAAGATAACCTTTCATTAATCATAAATTTACATAACTTCCATCTAGAGGATGGGTACTCCAGCTAGTAATAAATATAATTTTAAGACTATTTTTTGAAGTCTAAGTAAATAAGAGGAGTCATACTTGTGTAATTTTGTTTCATCATCCCGTACTTTTAAAAGTATTCATATTACTATATTAGTGCTTAAAACATTAAAACAAATCATAATTTCACTTGAAATTTCTCACACACACATTATAATTAAATACTGTATGCAAAAACAGACAAAATAAACAATAAATATCACACAAGCCTATATATTATTATTAAGAATAAAACACGTTTCTTGTAAAATGGGTTGTCGCTTAACCATTGTTCTTCTCATAAAAATGTTCAAATGAAAAAGAGTAGTCTACCCAAGCACTTTGAGTGTACAAAAGTACACAAAAATGTATCTGTGGTATGTGAGAAAACTTCCTAAGAATTATTATAAATGGTAGGACAGCAACGATATTTTGAAAATGTTGAAAAAAACATTATTTTACAGCTGAAATACTTCTTTGTAATTCTATAACATTAAGTTTCCAACTAACATGCAAAAGAATAAATAAATAAGTATGTAAAACAAAATAATGACAAACCTCATTTTACTTTCCTGTTGCTGAGATTCTTTTAAGGTTTAATTAGGAATTAAAATTCTACAAACCTAGCAAAGGTAATTTCTGTTTGTAATCAATGACGTTTATTTTTATGTTCTTTTTTGAAGGGGATAGTAGCTTGTCAGGTATATTTATTCAACAAAATATAATATAATAACATTCAGCTATCACAAAGTTTTCAACATATGCAGTTTTCATCTTCAGTACATTTAGATTAAAGCTTGTGAAAATGGGTCTGATACTTGTCTAGCTATTATTTGTGCTTCATTTCATGGATAGAGATTTAAAATTTGGTTGTATTGAGTATTTTGGTAGATTAAAAACAACAGTAGCGACTCTTAAAATTTCATGAAGCAGCCACAACAATGCTTTTCATATAGTTATGTCACTTTAACAACCTTCAGACTTGTCTTTCTCATTAAACATACAAACATTTTGCATATTAAAAAGCACCAACTAACACATTTTTTGTTGTTGTTTTCTTTTCAGATGTGTAAGATGTGTTTCTTAGAAAAACCTATTTCTGAGTTCAGTTTGAACAAATATTTTCAAAACAATTTGTAACTTTATAGCTTTGAAACTTTTCTAAAACTGAATTGTTAAATACATGAAATGAAATCTTTTGGATTAAAGAAATCTAACCTTTGAGCTGCTTCAGGGCTTGGAAACCTCAATATAGCAGTAGCTCCATTAACAGCCAGCACTCGTCCTCCACAGTTATCTGAAAGTTGCTTGAGTCTATTGTGTATCTGCCGAGCATCTCGATTGGTTGGTAAATCACTCACAATCAATTCACAAACTCTGTTATTTGTTCCCTTGAATAGAACGATTGTCCTTTAATAAGATAAATACACTAATACCTCAAAAAGTTTTTATAAAAATTAACATGTTTTTCTTTTTTTAAGTATGTATGTTAATCAGCTGTTACATAAATAATAGGTAGGCAAACAATAATTTATGAGCATAAGGAACTGTCTTCTTCAGACCCATGTTCTGTCAAAATAAATAGTATGTTCCACCATCAATAAAACTCTTCCTTATGCTTATAAATCATTGTTTGCCTATTTATTATTATGTGCTTCCTTACTCAACTACTATATTATTGACTTACATAAACTAAGTATCCTACATTATGAATTAAATAGCTTATCAAACCTATATAAAAGCAAGTGTGTGTCATATCATGCTTGATTTCTCAAAACAGGAAATGTCATAAAAGCCAAATAGAATAGTTTGATTACTGTCTGTCCATTACAATTTTAAATACGGGTTTGCAAGGGGGACGTCAGGGGAGGAGTGCTGTGAAACCTTATAAAAGTAGTGGGTGTTGGTATAAGCCTAAAGTAAGAAGTAGTGTGGGATTGTCTAGCTTACAGCATAGTGCATAAAATTTATCATGAAAGCAAAAATTCAATTTTAAACTTAAATCATTTCTAAATTAAGCTATTTTTTTTATATTACCAACATTTTTAATAAAAAAAAAACCTACTTTAATCAACAGAGACTCTAATAAATTAAAAAATCAACAAATATTTTCCCAGTTTTGTTGTCTATACATTTCATTTTATACTTTCAGTACACAGACTAACAGCAATATTAGGTTATACTTTTCTTGCTTTTCTATATATTAGAAGTTGTTAATCTAACTGATTTTTTAGCAGTAATTATCCTATGAATATGCAACAAATTCCTTTCGTGAATGATCTTAATTTTGATTGACTCACAAAGGAATTTATCGACATTTGACTGCCTTGACTGCACTTTTTTGCCTCTTTGTTGGTCAAGTTTTATTTTCCAAAATTTATTTATTTCAGTTAGCTATGAAATAAGAGATTAGAGTATACTATGGGGTGGAGTGGTAGTACTTGCCCTGTCATTTTTGATGGGCTATACACTAGTTTATAAATAAAAATCAATGTAAACTTGCACAAATGTTGGGGCCCTTTCTTCTCCTCATCTTCTTTACTCAGTAACTATCCATACATGACATGGATCTATCTTCCAAAATATTCCTTCTGCTTGGATTATACTGGAATGTCTCCACTTCACAGTTACCCTTTTTATAGTCCATGGCACAGATGCCAATGGATTCCTCTCAGGACTTGACTTGCAATCTTCTGGGACAACAGCTGTATTATCCAGTATTATAATTTCTTGAAGTTATCATCACAAAAACTTATAGAAAGCATTAACACCTTTCCATAGGCATTTAACTGTAGCAAGTCCATGATAAAATCCAGAGAAATTGAACTTGTACACACAGGCAGTAATTTTCTCCATTGTCAAACACTACAGCAAGTATTGTGTGCAACTGACACACTCATAAAAAAAAACAAATAAAAACCTTCTAGTCATACTTTCTATGGAGGACATTAGAGATATTTCATAAGATGATGTCACTATGTTATCTAACACAATACAGCAGGCCAAACTGTTCTATGTTATTACTCAGTACATGACAATCATTGAAATAAAATGTAATACCTATTACACAAAAGTTATAATTTTCCTAAAGTAAAAATGTATTGCCATCCGCTCACAAGTTTAGTTTTTCCCGTTTTGTGCTGCCCTCTATATGCAACCTTTTTTTCTAATGCATGTCACATGCCTTCTGTACCACCCTATTGGAATCAAAGATTCCAACATGTCTCTCATGCAAATCATCATGCATCATCTCTCCACCAATAGGAGAGCACTACTATCATGTGACACATGTGACTCCCTCTATGCACCACTACTGAACCATCACTTTGAAGTTTGGAAGAAGACGTAAGTATAGGAAGATAATAACTTTCAACACTGTACTTCCTTCCACTCACAGGATTAGCTAGAATCCCACATTGAAAAGGAAAAGGGGTTGGAGCAAGAGAAGAACAGATGTACCCCACGAAAGCATACAAAGGATACTTCCATAGATGAGAGAAACAGATCAGATGATCTGAGGAGCAACGCACCACTTCTGAACCAGGTATCTTCTTGCCATAAACAGCTAGGAACAAACTCGGCAGAAATGGAAGGGAGCACATCTGAGTGGGAGAGGATAAGTCGGGAAATTGATTCCAACAGAATAAATATAGAAACTCAATCCCACAGAAGTAAATTGGGTAATGGAGGATGCGTACCATGGTTTAGAATGGCTAAGGCATGGCAGACCATACTCAGTAAGTCAACTACATCCAAAACCTTCTATGAGGATCACACCGGCTTTACCTCAAGCCCCAAAATCATGGATGGGAGAAAAACACCAACTCCAGGGCACTACACAGGATTAGCACTGAGCCAGAGATCCGGGAATGTGTCACGCAGTATCCAAGAGAAGTACAGCACATGCAATCAACTCCTATGACCATGAGACTGGTCTGAAATTTCCAAAGATCCATAACATCCACATCGCAAGAGAGAATGAGGGAGTGCCAAGAAACAGAAATATCCCATGTATACTCTCCGTAACCCACTACACAGAAGGAAGAATCAAAGGAGGAAGATGGACAACCTCAAACCTGTGAGAGGACATAAGTTGATTGGTTCACTTGATATCCAAAACCAGTTCATGGTGTACTGACATCCACACAAGGGCAGGATGAAACCACCTAATCAAAGGGGTGATCTGCATTTAGACGTCTCACTCCATGGTACGTGTCACTCAAACCTGGAGGATGGTATGCCTTCTATACCAGCAGAACACCACCACCACCCTACTCTGAACTAAATGTTACAGCCATCTATGTGGAACCCATCCAGCAGGATGCTTCCATGGTCAACCACCCCAGCAGCTTGGAACTGGCAAGTGGTAAGGACACCCACACTCCACTGGAACAAGGGTGAGGGGAAAGAGCGTTGGAGAGTCCGGAGGAACAGCTATAACCAACACAGTGCAATGGGTGATCATGAAATCCTATTTTAAAAAGCAGACTATACCAATTTATTCAATCAAGACATGGCAGGGATGGGTAGCTATCCTATTTTGCTTTACTCATGCTGTCCATGGGTGGTACAGTCCCGGACGAGCCTATTTATTAGGCAAATATTACGAGGTGTTTGACCATCCAGTAATCTTGTGAAACACCCCATCTCGAAGGTGAGCCTGTGGATACATGGAAAGAGCACATGAATCAACATGGCGTACAGTGCGGATTTGTTTATGTATGTAAAGAATACTTGGTCAGGCACCACTTACCACAGAGCGGGATCCAACAGATGAAAATCAAAGCAAGGGATCCTGAAAGAAAAGAGAGTATTAATAAAGACTCACCTAGTGTCATAGCTGCAACAAAATCTGAAGTATGGTCATGGATGGTAGGCAATACCCAAAGGAAGCAGAAACCACAACGTAACATAAGTAATGGAAGATGAACGTCTTAGGGGTAGTCCACATGCCTGACTGCAAATCTCCTCCAAAGGCTGACGAAGATGAGAACCAAGGGAAAAGGTGAGGTGTCGGATTTGATGGGAGGTAACATGGAACAAAGCATATTGGGAAAGGGACAAAGAAAAATAAGCCAACTGGATTAAACGACGAACCCTACTGGTAATGGTAAAGTGAGATAGACCCCAAGAGGAAGAGGGTTGCCACAGGATAAAGAAGCGGGAATAGAGATCCCTGAAGGAAGCCATGTGGGCAGTATAACTACGAAGGTCACACACCAGACATAGAAGCCTATCCGGATCAGGACGAGGGTAGAGATGAAAAATATAGGAAAAGGAAATGGGCAAAAAGGAGGAATTACCCTGCAAGCCGCCGAGGTCTTGGGAAGGAGTGATCCAGATAAAGGATAAGATAGGCTTGGTAGTACAGTATACAGATGTTGATAGTGAACAGATCTGATTGACAACACCCTAAGACAAAGAGGAGAAGGAAATACGCCTTCAAGGTTGGGTGAAACAAATTGCACAAGGCAATGGGCTCAAATGGAGGTAAAGTAATGGAATGGAGTACCACATTAATGTCCCAATCTGAAAGTACCAGACACCTAAGCGGCCTACATATCTGGAAAGAATGGATCAAAATAGCAAGGACAAAGGAAAGAAAGACCCTGCAATAACAAGAAAAATTGAAAGTATGGGATAGGGCTGCCCAATAACCCCTTCTCAAAAAGTCATGCACAAAACTCAGAGATACCAACAACTGTAGGAAGAGAAGCTGAGATACTTCGAGCCTGAGCCAGGTGCGAAAAATATTCTGTTTCCGCTGATACACAGCCATGGATGAAGGATGAACGGAATGAGCTAAATGAAATGCTACCCAACGTGAGAAATTGGATCTCCTTGCCAGGGACTGGACAAAAACCAACTGTAAAGATGGAGGATGTGAAGTACAGGATGCAGAACCGGTGACTGGGGTTGACAAAGAAAGTTGGGGAATAAAGGAAGAAGGACAGGAGAGAAAAACTGTAGCTGGAATAATCAAGGAAACTGTGGTATAGTGGGCCAGTAAGGAACAATCAAAAGGACTTTGCATGGGGTGGTATGGATGAGGGAGACTACCCGATGAAGTAATCAGATAGAGGATAAACAAAGGAATTTATTTGACCAATCCTGGCTGAAGGCATCTATAGCCAAGGCCTGAGGATGGGGAACCAGGGACCAAAACAAAGGTAACTGGTGATTGAGGAAGGTAGCAAATGCATCAATATGGGGAATAACCCACCAATCGCAAAGCCACTGAAAAACAAGGGGATGAAAGAATATCAAGGAGCAGACAGGGTGTTCCAAATGGCCAGTTCCACAGCACAGAGCTGGAAATGAGAAGGTTGGGCCCAACTGAAATGGGTGTTGAAGAAAACACCCATATGAATGAGGTACTGGGTAGGATGAAGGAAGGACTTCTCCAATTTGATCAACCAGCCAACCCGAGCAGCTTTAAGAAGGAACTGACGAATATTATGTGCCAACTCCCATTCGGACTGAGCAAGAAGAAGCCAGTTGTCCATGAAAGCGCAACCGCAGGGCATGAAGATGCAAAACATATGGTGCCAAAGTCTGTATGAAGGGTATGGCATGAAATTGGTACACCATCCCACGATGGAAAAACCAAAGAAAAGGATGAGAATGTTCCAATATGAGAATATGCAGATAAGCATTGGAAACGTCTACCTTGGTCATCCAAAGACCGAAAGAAAAAGCCCATTAAAGAATAAGGTAGGATTCCATGGTGAAGCATGGGGTATGAACATATTGATTGAGACAGGACAGGTCAATTACTGGCCTCCAATCTCCTGAATTTTTGGAACTACAAAGAGGCAGGAGTAAAACTCCCCAAACCACATGGAGCAGGTTTGATAGCCTGTTGTGTGAGGAGGTCTTGCACCACCACAGATAAATGCTGGCATGACAAGGGAGAAGTAAAGGAAATAGGCATGCGGGACAACGGAGGAAGAGTAAGAAAAAGTATGATGAATCCCTCTAGCAAAACTCGGTGAACCCAAACATCGGAGATGAAAGGGCTCCACCAATGAACGAAGGTTGCCAGACGAGTTCCCACCACACCCCGAACCCACCAAGTAGTCACCAAAAACATTTTTGGTGTACCATGGATTGTCATGAAAAATGACAAACAGTAGCACCACGGGAAGGAGAAACAGGCTAGGGCTGGGAAGGGGAGGGTCAGGAGACAGAAAACGGTGCCACGCTTGGCTCCGACTGGGACAAACGAGCCACAAGATGAGAAAGTGTGGATTTTTGTTGGACTGAAGCTACCCTCAACTCCAGGATTGTGTTAAACATGATATGTCCCATAAACGGGGCCACACAAAGGTATAGTAAATAAGGAGACGTGAGACGGGTCCTTGACAATGTGGCATCATGACCCAAAAGGTCCCAACAACAAATAAACCACTTTTGCAGGGCTGGAGCCAAAAACCCTAGAAAACCCCTCAGGGTTCCTATGAAGAGCCTCAGACAGGAGAAGAATCAAGGAGAGGTACTGCAAAAGAGTTGTCAGGATAAGAAGAAGGCAGGAATACTTGGCACTGGTAAGATGAATGGGAGATTCAGCCCCCCAAACAGGCAAAACTGAACCTGAATATCAGGGGACAGTGGAAAAACTAAATATGGTTGGGAGGCAGAATCATGCAACAGGGAAGGAAGAAATAGGAGCAATAGACAAAACATCACATACCCCAGAAATAAAATCTGAGAGAGCTGACAAGGGCCAAACAGAATCCTCAGGTAGGGTTTGGGAAGACACGGCAAATTCGAGGGAGGGGGGGATGCTTGAAATCCTCGTCAACCTGGCCAGGCTTGAAAGGCTCAGGAACAAGAGGGGTAACAGCAGGAGACAATATAATGCTCAATCTCCCTGTGAATAAAGGCCGATAAATCCCCCAATGGATCACCCTCACCTGTGGTATCAGAAAAATGAGATGTATCCGAAGTGGTAACATTAACTTTAAAATTCATGCTTGATACCAAACAAAGAAGCGAAAATGTTTTGTGGCAAAACATGGGAAAATTAAATGCTTTCAAAAGTAAAACAAAGCAAATTCTTGAAATAAAGTAAATTAAAATAAGTTAAACCACTTTTTAAGTAATAAACAAAAAGAAAGACATCTGAAATCAAACACTGTCAAATGAGAAGTGATGGTTCCGTAGTGGTGCATAGAGGAAGTCACATGCATTACATGATAGTAGCGCTCTCCTATTGGTGGTGATGACACATGATGATTTGCATGAGAAACATGTTGGAATCTTAGATTACAATAGAAGGTGTGGAAGGCTTGTGGTATGCATATAAAAAAGTTTGCATATAGAGGGCAGTACAAAATGGGAAAAGCTAATCTTGTGAGGTGAGGGAAGTACTAAGTAAAAAAACTTAAGAAATAAGTAAAATTTTGTTTCATTTGCACAAGAGTTTGGAATTTATAAAAACTTTAAATTACCTTCTATGAGGTATATATGGATCTCCAATTTAGAGCTTTCAATATCTCATAATTTTGGTAAACAAGATATATATCAAAACCACATACCCTGACAGGACTACGAAATGGGATAGTAGAGGCTAGTTCAGGAAAGCTATAATTTTCATGTGCACAAGCAAGTAGTGGTTCAGGTGCTCTGCTACTGTGTAGAAGGATGATACGGATATTGCGGCGATGGCGAAAATCTGAAAGTTCTGTTGCAAAATTTACATCTCCTGAAAAACAAGGTAACAATATTAGTATTAGTACATAATAAGAAATTATATATATCGATTATCATCTACAATGTTAGTTTAACCCTACAATCATATTACTTCATTTACTTTTCTTTTAGTAAACAACATAGATTGACCCCATATGATGTATCTGAGCAAAAACTGTTAATTACAGGTAATTCATGAACCTTATTTTTGCCTCAAAATAATCTTAGACATAAAAGAAATTAAGCAGATTTGATGCAGTGAAAGTAAACAAAACTTACACATGAAAATTTATTCACCAGTTTATAAACTATATGGAATCTTCAAGAATGCTGGATTTTCCAATATAACACTAGTCTTCTAAATCTTTATGACCATACTTTCTGCCCATTTCTGGTTTCTTTTGCTAACTTACCACACAAATATTATTCAACTTATTTTTTTTTTCTGACAGAATCTTTACAATTAGTATCTTATACTTTTGGCCATTACCGATTAGTCTGATTTTGATATATAATGACTTTTCTTCTTGTGTGATATTTTAAATTTATATACTTTTGACTATGACATATCAGATTAGCCTGAACTTTATAAGTACTGACTCTTCTTGTGTCATATCTCAGGTTGGTATATTCTATTTGTGACCATTACCTATCAGCCTGAATTTGGTAGTATCTAATTCTTCTTGCGTGATTATCTCAGGTTAGGATCTATTTTCTATTTGTGGATAATAAGCAAATAACAGTCTAGGCTTTACAGGTGTACATGCTGGGTTCAACTTTTACAATGTAATTTAATGCTTGTTTTTCTAAATAATGTCTTCTCTGTTTTCCAATACTCTTATTTAGCCTTACACTAACACTTGATATTCATTTTACCTTAGCAGCTGTATTTAATATATCATAACAGCTTTCTTGTCTTACTCACAGAAGCTATAATATTACATTCTTACTTTGTATGCCATGTCATTCAGTATTGTTACATGTATTTTTTAATTACAGCATAAACAAACAAAACAAAAAACATCAAATAACCATTTGTCTAGTTCTACAGACTTTGTAAAAGTTTAACATTAAAAAGATAAACAAAAAACTCTTAGATGAGCATAAGGATCACCAGAACACAAAATATAGATTACTAACAATTTGTACACACTAACCAGATATCAAAAGCACAGTAGACGGGGACCCATGTATATCAACAAATCGTCTCATGCACTGTTTCAGTTTGTCATCGGCAGCATTTTTACTTGTAGCATTAATGTGAACCACTGTCACCTGTGTAAGAAAGACAATATCTGTTTGAATTTAATATTTCAGATTACCCTTAACTATCATATATTTTTTAACCTCCAGCTTTAAATTCAATGAACTAACACTACCACTAAATTCGACAGCAAAAAGGGTGATTTCACTTACACGCTAAAGGAGTTTCACACTATCCAAAGTACAAACTCTCTTCTCTCCAATCCATTGCAATATTGCTCAGTCCAGAAAGTATGGCTCCATCTCAAATTCCAAAACCACTAACCACAAGGAGCCATACAGCCAGTAGTAACCACATTTTACTTTATTATTATTTATTTCTGTTTCATTTTTTTAACACAAAGTAGTCAATATAAATAAGATGATTTTTAATACTATTATTTATACTACTATTATATACACTTGAGGAGCTTGGCACCAACCTTGGTACAGATTCCCCTCTCTCCAAAATTCTTCTGATTTTATCATTAATGTAGGCAGGATAACTTGCTCAGAAATTTTTTATTTTTATATACATCACAAATAATAAAAACAAAGATTTGAAAAAATTAAGTATGATGTAGGGATGACAATGCCTAAAAAGGTAAAAAAACATGATAGGAATGAATACACAAAACCATACAAAAATCCCTACATAAGTAGCTAGTAAGTACTGAGTCAAGCTTGTAAGATTATGGTTATTAGCCACTGTAAGACTGTATAGCCCTGTTTGGTTTAAATGCATTTTATTCAAACCTAATTTTATATAATTGATAGAAAATCAACATTTAGTTGCAGATAAGAACTGGCTACTTATATAGTGATTTTTGTATTCATCCATACTTTGTTTCTGTACTTTTTTGACATTGCAATCCCTACATCACACTTAATTTAAAAAAAAATGTTATCACTTGTTTTCTCTCCTTTTTTTTAAAGAATTTCAGTTGATACCTAAACATTCGTTTCATTTTTATAATTCAATTGTAATATATATGTTGTTAATATCATATCAGTTTTGTCAGCTTCTATAATTTTGGATTACATTGAGGGCCAATGAAGCTGGAATGGTTCCCTCAGGATAGTACAAATACCTCGGAGTGCTGGACCAACATTAAGATGATATTTAATGAGCCCATGACTTCCAATTTCACCCCATCTCACTGCATATGCATACAATCAACTTCACCACATGCTAGGGTCATGTCAATTAATAGGGAAACAGATCCCAAGCCATGAAGTATGATCCCACTCATACACACACAGCTGCCAGACTCAGCCCCACTGAAAATTTGAAGAAAATTAGACCAATATATAACGTATTGTTTTTTTAAACTCAAACATCAATAACATGTGCACAGACATGTCAGTTGCATAAATACTTGATCTCCTTGATACCTTGAATATTTATTTAGATTATTCTTTCATTCTTTCTTTATTTCCTACTAAAACTGTTTTGGCAGATATTATGTTTGTGAATGCAAAGTCACAAAGAGTCCTTGTATAAGAAAAACTTGTGCAGCCATCTAGTGACCAGAAATTAAGCTTCTATTTATCAAACATAGAAATAATATATATGATTATAAACTGAATTCACTACTAAGTAGTAATTTTCCTTTTTATTATTTCCCCACAAAAAATATGTGTGGTAGAAGAACAAAATAATATTACTGTTATACAAGCTGTGAAACACTCAAAAGTTGCAATTAGGTGCTCAAATAAGGCTAAAACTCCACTTTAGCAGTTACTTGTAAGCATCATAGAGTAACAGAATGAATGTGGTGGCCATTATTTTCTCAGCCCATCCCTACATACTAAGCACTACCACACTTAATGATAGCCTATTCCTAAGTACTCTTACGATGCTTTTCTGTCATACTAAAGCCATCACAAAACTTCACAAAAAAAAAGAAGAAGAAGACACTTTGTCTCTTTAGCTAGTTCCCAGTTTTCCACTTTAGCACCTATTTTCAATAATATTGGAAGTCTCACAAGCTGTGAAACACTCGATAATGGCAATTAGATTAGATGCTCAAATAAGACTATAATTCAACTTTAGCAGTTATTTGTAGCATCATAGGGTAATAGATTGAATTGGGCAGCCATTTTTCCTCTCAGCTCACCCCTAGATACCAAGTACTACTGTGCAATGTAGTCTTTACAGGTAAAAAACAATGCACTTTTAACCAATTAGAGGCTTCTGACATTTGTGATCAATATAATAACAATGAGGTTATCAATCAAAGTTTTATGAACAAATAAAGTTACATTAATATTTTTGCATAAATTAACAGCCTGTGAACATTCAAAATTCTTGCTGTCATAGTCAATAGCCTAAACAATCACCAAAGTCATTATTTTTGTTACTGAATACTAATTGCTAGTTAGTTTTAATCATATATTTCAGCTGCTATTGTCACAAAGTCCTAAGAAAGACTACTTCTGTACGGTAGTGGCCAGGATTCAATCCTGAATCTTTTCAAGAGAATGCCTAGTGTATTTTCTACTTATCTGGGGTCTATTTCATTATGACTTTAATCAATTAACTTACCTCAATGCTTTCAAGATGGCTATCCAGGCTAATTGTTTTATTTGTAGATGGTGTAGAAGATTTATCTTTCCTTTTTTGCATGGGTGGCTCTTATCCCATTATTTTAGTATTATTATTATTATAATTTATTGTAAAGTCTTCTCTGGTGCAATGGGCTATTGCAAACAGAACTGTATTGCAGAGACTTGGACATCTATTATGCTCCTGAATTCTAATTTTCTTTGTCTTTTTGTTTTTCCGATGTATTGGAGTTCACATTCAAAGGGAATGTTGTAAATGATATATTTTTGCTCGCTGTTTGGATTATAGGTGGTTTGGTATGTTATTAACCGTGATTGTTATTTCTGAATACTGTTCAGGATTAATACTGCTTACATATCCTATGTTTGTTTTCACAAAGACTTTTGATGGAGGGGAATATAGCAATGTGCTTGGTGCTTATTTTCTCTATTTCTTCCCTTATCAGGTATGCACTGATAATGAGGGTTACAGAGAGGAAGTTTTCATTTTTCTCCTTGGCATCTTCAGTGTTACATAGCTTGTTCATTTTTGACACTATGCAGTCTATAAAGCATGTCCTTACACTGTTAGGGTAGTTTGATACATTGACAAGTGGATAGCATATTAGCCCTTCTATCAAGAACAACCAGGATCTAATTTTAACCACTCCTGAAGACAGAAGTATCCAAAACATAGAAAAAAAAACTAGTTAGTAATTAGTATGCAGTGATTAAAAAAGTAATTAGTACATAAGTGACCATATATGCTATCAACCATGACAAAAATTAATAAATAATCACCACAAGTATTACATATTAATTTAGTTTGCAGCATACACAGTTAATTGGTTTACATGTACAGTATTGGAAATAATTATGAAAACACATAGATGATAGGCATACAGGAGTCACAAACAATGAGTAACCGCAACTAAGTGGTCAGTTTATCATAAACCTTTTAAGGTCAGTTTGACCAAACTCAGAACAGTGAAACTATACATTCTACAACTCTAAATTTACTACATGTATCTTCACAAAATTTGTGCAATCTTTTCGTAAACATTAAAAAACTGTTATACAAAAAGATCAAAGTTTCTCCAGAAGATTTGTCTGTAAATTTCCAAAGTCTTTATTGAGCAAATCTGAGCGAAAGGCAATTTTCATGATAATAAAAAAAAAAACTTCATCTTATAATTTCACATTTCATTTGCATAACCTCTAGAACCTATTAAATCAATATTAAGTTTTTTTCAGTAAATTTTTATACTTCTTAATTTCTCTGTCCTAAAAATAAATGTAGAGAAATTATCAATGTATATCGATAAGTTAAAAAATAGCAAATAAAATAAATAATACCAGTTTTTCCTCTGCACTGATTACAATACAGTTAGAAAGTACCAATTACTTATTTGTTTTGTTGAGTTTCATGCACAGTTCAATATGTTAAACACAGCCCTCCAACTTACTTATCTTAACAGTTTCAACTTTTAACTTTTTCACATCTGTTTTCTTTTAATTTTATAGTTTTATTGCTGTACTTTGTATCCACTGGTAAATAAAATCCTCCTGCTATAAGCAATAAATCACAGAAGGAACACATTAACTATTTCTTGTAGAGCTAACCCAAATGGCATGAGATATGAGAATCTCATATAATACCACACTCAAGTCAGTGAAATTTTAGATATTATATTTTAGTGATATCTCAGCAAATCAAAAAGGTAGAAGAATCATCTTTTAGATTCTTGCTTCTAATTATGTATAGTTTGCATTTCTAATTGTTTGGAAACTGCAGCAGCCTAAATGTAGAAGTTACAAAATTTTGAAGTGGAGAATTAGAGCTTATAACTTCAAGTGACATGGAAAAAACAACATGAAGATTGAGATTTTTTAAAGATTTCCTTTTGAAATTAAGAAGTTAAAACTTGTATAATATAAAAGGTTCAACTATAAACTATCTTTTCATGCCAAGTTTATTGGCAAACATTGATGATAAAGTTGTTTAATTAAATTTAATACTGTAAAAAGTCATGAAATGTGACCTTTGACCCAGTCATAGGAAAAGAGTTAATACATCACATTTTTTACAGAGAAAACAAAAAGTAAATTGAATAAGTTATTGAAACCACTAGTATTTTGGGTTTACTTTAACAGTACATCTATTTTTATGATGGCACAAGTTTATAAATATACGATGATTATAAAATATTATTCTAAATGTCTTTATGGCTCTGCTATTTGACCCAAGCTGTTTAGTTGCCACTTGACCTTCTCAGTACCTAGTTATGCATGAACAACCATAGCAGAATTCATAGTGGGAGCTTGTGCAGGCTAAGCTAGAGGAATGAGTGTTCCCTTGGGCTTTTTTTTCTTCTTTACTACCAGGTACACTTCACATCATTTGTTATATGTTAAGGATCCCTATTTTGCTGGAAGATGAGTCTCTACCCAAAAGATCTTATTCCTGACACAATGGATAAGAATTTGCTTGTATCTGTCAGCATTCAGGTTGCCATCCATTTTTTGTAGATCTCCAATAAAACTGGCTAAGATGCAGCCAACAGTTGTATTGGTTCTCCAGCATGTTTCACTGCAGATGTTTTAGGCTGAATGTAAAGATGCCAACCCTAACTAATGTAAAAATATGGATAATTTAACTTCCACTGTCACTTTCACACCACAAGCAATAATGAAATTCACAAAGTAAAGCATAAGTTTTCACTTACTTAGAAAATTTAATGCAATGCTAGTTGACAAAACATTCAGATATAAATTTCTGCAACACCCATGCTTAGCAAGAGTTGTTGGCATTTGTGACTGGAGTGATTGATATTTTTTTTTTGTCATTTTCACTACTAGCTTTCTTTAAGGCAGTTGCATAGCTATTAAATTTATTTGACACATGTTCTTTTGTAGTGTTTTCGTCTTGAGTTTTGTTGTATTTTGATGTTAAGGTTGTGTCCTGATACACAGAAGTTCTGTAATGGGACATATTTTCTTATTGCAACTGTTAATTTTTTCCCTTCATTTTATGATTTAGCATTTTAGTAAACTTACCTGTATTTTCTTTTTGCGTATTTCTTTTCAATTTCTCGGTTGTGAGGGTAGCTTTGTGATAGGGAACTTTTTCCTGCATGTTTTTTCAGAAACACATTCCTGGCTAGATGGCTTTCATTTCAACATCTTTTAATTGAAATTAAAATGGTTTTCCCAACTTCTGAATTGGCTAACTACAAATATGATTTTTGGCTGGTCAATATTCTATTTAGCGTTAAGAAAATCTTTGAGTCTAGTTTGAGTACAGATGCAAAAGTACAAATGCCTAAAATTACTACAATCTTGATTGTGTTATCATTTTAATTTATCCCTATTCACAATATTGTATTTAAACTAGTCTGCAAAATGTAAAAATCAAATGAGAATTTAAAGGTTATATTAATATTGATATAATATGAGGTTAGATTCCACCAAAACAAGGATGGTTAGCATTTCTGTGGTCTGTGATACTACCATTAAACAAACTATAACTGATTTTTTTGTACCAGATAATTTAAATCTGGATTCATTTGTAAAGAGCACCATTTTTCAGCTTAAATCATCCCATTATTTGAATACTGATGCCCATTTCAGCTTTATGGTTTGGTTCTCTATCTCTCATAAGCAATAGTTTTTGAGCAGCTACACACCCAGTGAGGCCAATTAACACATAAATTTTACGAATCAGGTTAATGGCAAAATCTCTACTAGACTATTATGTATCATATAAAGAACATATCCTGAGCTACTTAGCATTACCACTTTGAAAGAGTTTGGGCTTTTTTTTTTACTAAGACTACTAGTTTCACATACCTTTTTCAGAGCTTACAAACAACTCTTTATGAAATTATGAATCAAAGTGTCACAAAAAAGACCCTCTACCAGCCAAAACTAGCATTTCTCACAAGTGTCATGTGGCATTCTTGGAGCCATAAATGCAATCACCACATCACCGATGGGAACAGTATGACTGACTGGACTTTTATAGGCTGGCGACAGATTGGATAACAGATTTTCACTGTATAGACTACCAGCACTTCACAGTAATCTAGTACAATTAATTTTTTCTGCAGTAGAGGGAGAGTAATCCAATAACATTTGCATTTTGTACCCATTTTATTCACTGTTTCCATAATTATTTCCAATACTGCATTTCTTTACTGGTTATTAGTAATAAATATCTATATATTTATTTTTTTTAAATGAGGTTACCCTATCTTTAATACAAATTTAGTCCTACAAACAGTAACCAATACTTATCAATAATATATATCTGAGTAATGCATTTGTATTGTTAATTTCTAACAGCTTTTTCTCACTTGTGCTAAATTGAGTTCTTGAATAACATCTCTGCTTTCTTTACTTATGTCACAAACACACAGGAACTCTGCTTCTCTGTGCCCACTGAAGAACTGCTGTCGAACTTGTTGAACAAGACCAATAGCTGATCTTCCCTTGGGCACTTGACAATTTTCAATATCCCAAAACACTCCAATGGGAGGAGATCCATTTTCTGCCTTGTTTTTTTGAAAGTTGGCTGCAAGGCTATGCCTTGAAGTTCCTGTACATGATGGCACTGAAAAGAAAGAAGCATAATATAAAGGGTCTCTACAGTAACAGAAGTAATGCTTCTAAAAGACCAAATATATGAATATGATGAATATCATAACTAACAACAAACAAAATTCTAGCTTGTATTAATGAAGAAAAATGAAACATTAAACATGTTACTTTGAAAAAAATCAATGAATATTTGATAACTAGTTTTAGTAGGTAGTGTGATGTATTAACCTTGAGTTAAAAGTTTAAAAACACTAAAAATTAACCTTGTAGAATATGCATACATAAGACTAACTTGTTTAGCAAATCACAATAATTTATTTTAGATCTAAATAAAAAAAAACAACATTGAAACTGGTCAAGTTTAGGTGATGTTAAATGCCTATAAATTTCAGTAATAAATTTCTATTGTATGTTAACCATTACTTTTTGCAATAAACTTTTAACATGTAAAGTTTTTGTAAGTATACAACAATGATGAAAATGACAATGATAAACCTGTCAATGATATCAAATGATGTGTGCTGACCTTAAATGTTTGATACATCTACTTTAGATAAAGAAGGTATGTCGTATCGCTTGAAAAAATAACATTTCAGTCATTATGTACAATCAATCCATTTTGAGTACAATTTGTTGATTTATTTGTGAGAAAGAACAGCAGAAAATTCTAGAAATTATTAACGTTAATAGAAATTCAACTTGAATGATATTCTCGAAGTTGTACAAAATCAAAATTCCATAACAAGAGCAATCCACATTCATACTTTATCACTGTGTCTAATCAGTGCATTTCATTTAACAATCTTGACTTTTTTTATTCTTTCAACTAAAAATGTTTCAATAATCAATGTTATTTATCATACCCATGTAACAAACAATGACATTAAATCAACAGAAATGGTGTTACAAATATAGTACCTGTTCATGATGATGCATTAACAAGATAAAATTTAAAAAACAACAACTAAATGCACAGGAATTAGAAGTTATTGTCCCTTTATAACACTGACTTACATTTTTTATTTATTTAATAAAGTCCTTCATTTCACTACAAAAATATTTACACCCTAAAAAACCAAATTGGTAAATTGCAAAGCAAAATCATAACTGTGTGTGTGTGTGTATGTTATGTACACTGAAGTAATACAGTTTTGTAAAAAAAACATACAATGAAGGAAATAACCAAATGAATAAGTAGAAGACACATTCAAAACCCCATTAGCAAATATAAACATTTTTCTGTGTTGTAAACATACATTCATTTTTAACACTTTTCAGTTAAAACTTCTTAGAATCAAAACTGTTTCCTAGTTTGCAGCTGTTGGATTAAAATTTTAAAAAAGTACAATTCTTGAAAAGAAAATTCCTATCTGAAAATGCCATTTAAAATATTCATATGAAATGAAATATTATGACCAAAGTTTAGTACAAACAATTTAAAGAAATGTTACATGTCTTTAACAATAAAGTAAAAATTCTACAAGGAAATTATCTTCTGTATAGTAAAAAATGTTCAGATTAATTCAAAATGCTTACAAGTCGGACAACATACACGGTAGAGAGAAATGCTTCCATTTAAACTATATCAATCCATTGCAAAATCTTTTCTGCTCACAAGTTGATATTATAAACCTTTCCCTTTTTAATAATATTTAAATGTAATAAATCTAAATACACATATATATTGTGAAAAACTGAAGTTATAATTTTTCTATACTGAAAATGTATTTGGGATAGGTACTCACCTCTCTCACATAAATTGCTATTCTCATTCAGTGCTGCCCTCTATATTGAATTTTTTTTCTACATGCCACAAACCTTGAAGCTCCCACCCATCTGGAATTGACTGTATCTAATGCATCTCGCATGCAAATCACTATGTAACAACCTTCCACCAATAACAGTGCAACATACTCTCTTGACACACGTGACTCCCTCTATTCAATTCTACCAACTATCACTTTGAGTTTTGGCAGAAAATGGAAGCACTGGTTTTCAATGGGGAGGAAGAATGGGAGGAGGTAGGTACCTATCTGAAATACATTTTTAGCATAGGAAAATTATTAATTTCCAATACGGTACATCACATCCACTCACATAAATAGTTAGGAACCCACATTGAATAGGTGGAGGGAGTGGTGTGAGGGAAAGAAAGAAGCATCCGAAGGACACTAACAAAAGAGGAGATCTTCAGAGTCAAAAATGTAGAGTGGCTAGGGCATGATGGACTATACACGGCAAGTCAACTACATCCAAAACCCAGGCTGCCGGGAACTGACATCCAAGAGAGGGTAGGGAATAGGATCATAATGGCGGCAAGTCAATTACAATTCAAAACCTACCCATCAGGTGGAGGTAGGAAAGAGGATCATACTGTCTTCATCTCAAGTTCATGAGACAGGAAGGAATCTCAAACCTCCTGACCTATGAACGGGACACATGATAGCAATGCGAGAAATTGATTGATCAATCTTTAAACCAGACATAGGGCATCAAAAATATGCCTGTCTAATGTCAACCATCTCACTCAAAATCAAAATGACAGGGACTACTTCAAGCACTGTAACATCCTTGGAATAATAAGAACATTGAGGGATAGCAGAAGAGGAAGAATTGTATTAATATGCAAGTACCTCAAGCATGACCCACAACACAGATGGAGTAACAAGAGTGAGGGAATAGAGACATCTGTAATACATGTGTGAGTACTTATGTTGATTGGTTCAACTCTAAAACCAAAACACTGGGAACTGACTTCCATGTGAGGGTGGGATGAGGATCCCAATCGAAGGGGTGAACTGCAATTTTGACAGCTCCCTCTCAAGATATATAAAATGGAGGACAACTCAACATCTACACCAGCAGAACACCACCACCCTACTCTCAAGTGAATGGTTTAGGTTATATATTGTTTCTCAGTATCTCATTCAGGAGGATGACTCCATGGTCCAACACCCCAGCGGCTTGGAACTGGAAAGTGGCAAGGTCTCCCAAACTCCACTAGTATAAAAGGGTGAAGAAAGCTCAGTGGAGAGTCCGGAGAATTGACAACACCTGATACAGTGCAATGGGTGATCAAGAAACCCTATTTTGAAAAGCACAGCATACCAATTAATTCAAGGCAAGGCATGGCAGGGATGGCCAGCTATCCCCTTCTGCTTTATTCATGTAGTCCATGGGTGAGTACGGTCCGGAATGAGTAAACTAACAAAGCAAACATATCACGAGGATATATCTACAAACAATCTTTTGGAACACTTCATCTCAGCAGTGTGCATTTAATGGCCATGGAATTACAATTAAGTCTTCATGACCTCTCTCAACATGGGGTCGGTTTATTTGACCTCTTTTTAGTTGTTTAAAATCTTTATAGATTTAATACTTCTAACTTTCAATATAAAGTATATCTTTACAAAATTTTGCAGTCTTTCAGTTAAAATTTCAAGTCTTTCACATACAAAAAATCATATTTTTTTGTGAAGAATCTTTAATAAACTAAAATAAAGATTTGTCCATGAATATATTGAGTATTTGTTTTGAATAGTCTGTGTGCAGAGTAATTTTCATGTTAAGATAAAAAATACTTTTTCTCATCTCAAAAACCTCAAATTTCCTTTGTGTAATCTGTAAAACCTCCAAAATAAATTTCAAAAGTTTTTTCCAGTAAGACTTTATATTTCATCTGTTATTTTCTCTACCCTAACTCAAAACGGGATCGGTAAATTTCACTGATGTCACTGAGGAAAAAACTAACATTATAAACTGGATGTAATCTTTTCTGAACATATCAACAGTTAGGGCAAGTGATGAAGAACTAGAGACCAAAAACAAAAGGTGTAACTGCTTGGGAACTGACAAAAAAATTCATGTCGAAGAGCACCCCACAGGAGGTAGAGCCACCAAAAATTTGGAGGATCAAGAGGTCACTCTTTGGCAGAAAGTGTGACTAGACAGGAAATTCAATCAACAACAAGGCCAAAAACCCTTGGAACACACCCCTCCAGAAGATGTATGTCAAGCGTGTGGGTTCAAAAAAAAAAAAGAGATCCACAAAAGGAACAAAAATGAGCGTCTCCTTGGCAAATGATAGAAGCCACCACCCTTGATTAGTCAAAAGGAAACACAAGTAGTCAAATACAGACAAAACGAAGAGAGTGAATGAAAGCATATTGGACTGGCAGAAGTGCCAGTGTGTGAAGGTGATAAGACATTTTGCCTGTACACCATTGTCCTGAAGCCTCCTACTGATCAAACCACATCCCCAACTTCTGGAGATGAGCATCAGGGAGGAGAAATAATCCAAAAGAGGGGGAGGAAGCAGTAAACCTGACATTGTAGGGGATATGATAATCTATCAACACATATACACGAAGAGGGAAGGATAAAAATCAAATGAATGGCTCAGATAACAGAAAACTCCATCCAATGCATTTGAGGAAGAGAATGGATGGTCCCAATTGAGGGTTGTTTAAAAATACCAACCAGAAAGAGACTAGAATATGAAGCATGGAACAGGAAAAACATATCCAATTGGAAAATCCAACTACCCAAGCTGACTGTGGAAGGAGTATACGAGTTAAGACTACCACTGTTTGGAAGGAGCTAACTGAAGCTAGACATCCAATGAATGGTGTAGGTAAAATCTCTCAAAATGAGGAAGTAGGGTAAAATCCAGACTACCCCACAAAAGACAGATGGAACCGAAACATGTCCAAAGAGCAGGGCAAGAAACTGTGACCAAATCACGTGGTGAAAAAAACCTAATATACTTGAAAATAAGAACGTGTACTGTGGCCATTCTCAGATATGCAGAAATAGTCAACCCATGTGTGATCAAATACTACACATCAAAATGTAGAAGACCCAAGAAGCAATTGAGGTGGGACTGATCTGATCCCCAATCAGCGTCGAGCATACAAGATGAATGGAGAAAACCCGTAGGTAGGACAGGTAAACAACAGTAAGTTGCCAGACATGTAAAAGAATAAAGGTGAGAATATCTCAGAATGAAACAAAAGAGCACCTAAAAAATAGCATGGCAGATACCCCATATGCTGCTATATGTACAGGAGAAGCAAAAATGGACCAGTGGGGAAAAAGATCTGACCTTAAGTCCCTAAGCTAACAATATATTAAACTTAATTAGTGATTAACCCATATGCAGAACTACAGGTAAACCAAAAATAACATACACGTGTTAAGCCTAATCAAACAGTGCAGGACAAAGGATATCACTAAGCTTTAAAATAAAACTCTTAACAACAAATAAGTACAATATTGGGAGAAAAGTTAGTGTGGACCCCAGATCAAGGGTTACACACAAACCAAGTTAATATGAAGAAGTTTAAAAGATAAATTATAACAAAAATGAAATAAATATGTATTAGCAATAATCTATGTATGAGACATGATGTATGAAAAAAAAACAATATAGTTAAATGAACAACTGATATACCAGTAATATGAATTACTTGGAATACTAACATAACATACAACCCTGGTATCATTGGTTTAAGAGAAAAGATACCACTAAGCCTAATTTCTAACCTATGAGTATTGACCAATCTAACAAAACTTGTTATAGAGCTCACATAACTACAGATAATAATATTCAAAATAAAATTATTTAAAAAACCCTAACAGTATAACATCTTATCTTTCCAAAGTCGGTGAACTGTATGTCAAAATGTGAGGTCCTCTAAATTCGAGGCGAAGCCTGAAGAAGGTCAGCTCATTGGACGAGCAATCTCCTGAGAAGTAAAGCTAAAGATTCTCCCACCTGAAGCCTGTGTAAATGTGCTGACAGAACATATAACCTCCGAAGTGGTAATGTAGAATTCATAGTGCAAAATGAACAACCACACACAACTGTGTTGGTAGAAAGAAAGAAAATATTTAGTAATGAAGTAATAAGTTCTGTAATCGGGTAGATATATAAAATAATTCCACTTCGGAATAACTCAAGTTAAAAATATCACTATTGTATAATAAAGAGTAAACCTGTCGAGAGAAAATAATACAAAGATATGAAAAAAAAACACTTGAAGAGAGCACAAACTAAATGTAACAAAACAAGTACTGCCAAATGAGAAGTGACGTTTGGTAGAATTGAATAGAGGGAGTCACATGCGTCAAGAGAGTATGTTGCACTCTTATTGGTGGAAGGTTGTTGCATGGTGATTTGCATGCAAGATGCATTGGATACAGTCAATTCCAGATGAGTGGGAGCTTCAAGGCTTGTGGCATGTAGAAAAAAATTTAATATAGAGGGCAGCACTGAATGAGAATAGCTATTTATGTGAGAGGAGGTAAGGTACCATATCGAAAATCACTATGTGTCATTATTTTCAATACTGAAAGATTTAAATTATTTTACAACAAATTATTGAATTGCAAACTACTATGCTTGAATGTGAAATTAAAGACAGGTTATTTATTTCTCCAAGGTTAAAGACACACTACATGCAATGCTAAGTTCAAAAACCATGTGTTAATTCTAGTTTAAAACTGAGACATCCTCACACCCAATGCACAAAAAACAATTAAAGTTTAATTGAAGATTTCGTTATATAATTTTTCTTTATAATTATCAATTTACCCTTGTTTTTATTACTTCAAAAAATGAAAATAAATATACATATGCAGTACTAGGTGTGTATAGGTAGACTTGTCAAGCAACATTTGAATGACAAACTCATTATTTCAATCATTATGATGTACCCAAGTAACTTACTTGACAATCTTTTCTATTAACTCTTCTATTCATTATTCACACTTCATATTTTCTTCTTACACTATACCATTCTTTGTCAATTATATAAAAGATGTTATAAGAAAATAAAAATAGGTAAAATGAGCCAAACATTTCAAATATAGGCTAGTAGCTTCATCAGTGTGTCAAGTAAAAGTGGGATTAAAGAACTTTAAGATATAAGTATTTAAATATGGTCAGTACAGTAGCAATACTACCTGCATTGATACGACTTGCAAAATGTGTTAAACAGTATGCATTAATTTAACAATAACCTTACAGATAATGCAGCTTAAGGTAAGATTTTTGGGACAGTGTATGTGTGGGTGCAAGATAGAGACAACAGTTCTAAAGCACCTTCTTCACCATGTGGTAGTTTTTTTTTTAAGGTATGTAAAAAAAACATGACTCATTTCACCATAGCAAGATTTTATCAATTGTCATACATATAACATTGTCAGATCTCATAAATATGTTTAAAAAATACATACATATGCTTTCATATGATCTTTTGGTAAACTATCCATCCATAAGCCTTACCTTTAAAAATTTTGTCCACCTCCTGCATCTCTATAATGTAATTTTATATACATACATGTAGCAATGTCTAATAATAAAAATACTGGGCTGAAAAAGCATGAAAGTCTGACGTATTTTCTCATCCTGGCCTGTCCTCTTTTGGTCCATAAACCATCTAGATGGAAAGGCCTGGGTAACACAGTACCAGAGTTTTTATCCTGGAAATTAGGGGAAAATACTGTGTCTTTGTATGAGTAATCTATGAGAAAGAGAGAGAGAGAAAACTTCTTTTAGTATATGAAAGAAACCATCAGATCATATAAGAGTGCCATACAATATAAATAAACACAATATTAAACTGAATTTTGATAAAAATTAATTTCTGTGAAATAATTGCATAATTTTTTAATTGTCAATAGTAGAAAGATTCCATCCATTCTTTAAATTAACAGTTTATCTACCTAATTTCACAAATTTTGAAAGTGTAATTTTATCTGTAATGTCATTTAATTTTTACCTTAGAAACAGGTTGAAGCAGGGATAAAAACTGCTTGGTTCATTGACATAAGTCTCAATTACTTAATTCCAAACAATATATATATATATATTAAGCCTAAACCATTAATCTTGTTAGAAAGCCATTCATTCCATTCTCACCATTCACTTAAAGAGTAAAATTAAAGTATTTTTATCTAATCAAAACTTTCAAATAACTCCACCCCACCTACCATATAATTATTTGGTTTGTATTATATCTTAACAGATATAATTACTAGCCGATAGAATATACTGTCTATTTTTCTGTCACCTTGCTTTTTCTTACATTCTTAAATGTTATCCTTCAACCCACACACCTACCTAAAAAAAAAAAGTGAGAATCCTTTAATTGGTGATTTAGAACATGTATTAATGATGAAACAACGGTAAAAATGGATGAGGCAAGATTGTGTACAATTCTGATCTTATCCAAGAAAGAAAACTGACTAATTAGAAAAAGTTAAGTGGAGAGCTACTAAGATAAATCCAGAGATGGATGTTTTTTTTATTCTTGTATAAGAGACAAAATGCTAGAAAAATCTTCTTTGTTTAATATAATTTTATTAAATGGAAAACTGGAAATATACATGTATTAATAATCATACAAGCTGAATGCCCTTTATATGATGGGAAATAATGATTAATTTTTCTACTCAAGATTATATCTAAATAAAAGTTTTATGAACATATATTTTCTAAAAATTAATTATCATCTAGTAACAATATGTGTATGGAGAATAACTATCCTATTTCTAGTATTTCACAAAACAACATTTTTTTATGTATATTTGGTCATTTACTTTAAGTATTGCTTAATTAGCATTTTTAACTTCTGTATATTTTTAAGTTATGTTCAAATGTTCTTCTTGATAAATCTTAAAAGACTGAAACGTGCAAAAAAACTGATTCTCAAAGACATATTCCTGTCAACTGTATGACCCCAAAAATTATTAATTGTGATGATAAAGGAAGTGAATTTTATTATGAATTTCTGGGTCTTCTCTTTGAACTGTCTTCCTGGTTTTGGCTTTGTTAGCCTACTGAGCCGAAGAAGAGCACTTTAATTTTGGCATTTTCAAAATTGAAATTTGCTGTGGGTAAAACGTGGGTTATTGTAGAGTTGTAGCCGAGGGTTCCAACTGAACAAAATTTAGTAATGTTGCATTAATGTATCTCCTTGACAACCAAACAAATGTAATGGCAAATTTCAGCCAATGATTATCATTGTTGAGCACCAGTAATACCAAGTGTGGGGCACACATATACCAGATTTGATTTTATTACTTATCACAATCTCAACCAACCAATCCTCAAATCTAATTATACGCCCAAAGTAGCACATCGTCCATTTTACATATATGTGACTGGAAGAGCTTCAAAGCATCGATCAGTACCACAACGTCTGAGACATCAGAATGATGACAGCTTTTAGTATTTATATAGTAGATACGAAGAGCTTAGATACGCAGTATATCCAATTCTGCCATTTTGATAAAATCAGTTTGTCTTTCTGTATCTTTCATAAAAAGACTATGAAATTAAAAGTGGGATATTTATTAAGTAAAATTATTATAATTGAAACCTAAAAAAAATTCAACATTCTCTATTTTAAATTGTACAAAACCTATTTAATTTTTTGATAAAATGCTTTACATTCAAAATGTTGCATATCCACCATACAATACCATTTACAGCTCATTTTTGCTGAAAATGACATATAACACATTTTGCACCTGAGCTCTTCATATGTCTTATATCTGTTCTTGTATTTTAGTTTTTAACATTTATTCATTAGGAGTTTAAAGCTCACCATCTAGAATACCCCACACACAAACTGATAAAGGTGCCATGGTTTAAATTAATGCTGCCATGAAATAAAATGGTGATTAATACCTGCACATGTACATAACAATTTAAATCTTTATAATACTTATTATATTATATATTCCTCCTATAGATGATAAGTCAAACCTTAATGGGCTCAAACTGTAGACAAAAGCATTACGATAATATTGTGGCAATTATTTACACAAGCTTGTTGTAGCATATGTGATTCAGGGGTCATGAATTTAAGGAATCTGTATATTTGTGTAAATAGTTTTGGTTTGAGGTTTAGAGGCACAGATTTTTAAACATTTGTGGATATTTGCTAGGGTTCCAAAGTTCAGAATAAATTTCAGAAACTGGCAAGGTAAAATGGTTAAACTTGTTATCCTAGATGTCAGATAACATGAATTCCACACCGATATATCTTATTTTATCTTGAGAAAAAAAAGATAAATGACTATTGAAATTTACAAGATTATCTGGAATATTAAGAGGATATAGGCCTCTGATTTTTTCTAATATATTTTGATCTCATCCATTTTGTTCCTAAAAGTCTTTATTGCCAGAATAACAGAAATGAAGCTAATTCTTGAATCAACTATGTACTTTTTTCAAATTGAGACATATATCTTTAGAATTATTATTTAACTTCTATATATTAAAACACTATTCTCTTGTTTCTTTTTTCATAATTACTAATGAGAATTGAAAGACTAGGGGTCACAAATATAAATTTTGGAGTCATCTTCAGCTATGACAGACTTATTTTTTTAACAGGGTGGTTGGTATTTGGAATGAGTTGCCTTTAGATGTGGTAGATGCAGTTAATCTAAGGAAGTTGAATGGAAAACTTGATAAATACTGGCTTTGATTTTTTTAGTGTTTAGTTTAATTTAGTGAATGGGATGGCCTAGATGGAGTAGAAGGTCCCTTCTTGTCCTTTAATGTTATGTTATATTACTGCATTAAAGATTGGTTAGAGTGGTACCTGAATGATAGCTGAACGTGTCACTATAGCCCTAACTTTTATAATACTGTGCACTCTCATTCTCCTCACCACAACAAAAAGCAACCTTTACATTAACTCTATCCACTTCCTATTGTTGCGTCATCGAGATCACGTGACTATTCTCATGCCCTCTAGTTTCTAGAACTATCCCGTACCTTGGCGAATGCTCTA